ATAACGAAATTTTTTTTCTCAAATATCCCTTGTTAGGGAACAACTTGTAAGTAAATTATCACAAAAAATTTTGTTCATTAAATGGCAAGAAGAAGAGAAAGACAGAAAGAAAGAGAAGAAAGTATCTACGAGACAAAAATATTTTGTCATTTTCGTTATAAATATAAGAAATAGAGATGAAATAATTTTGTCACGTTTAATGTAAATGAAGATGAAATTTTTTTGTCAAAGAAGCTACCAATAGAGACAAAAACAAATTCATCATTAAAAATGATAAATTTGTGACGAATTTTTTTGTCTCCAATACACTCTGTTGAGAACATACTTGTAAGTAATTAGCGACAAAATATTTTGTCATTAAAAAAAGAAATTAGAGATGAAAGTATTTTATCATAAATATAACAAATAGAAATGAAATAATTTTGTCACGTTTAATGTAAATGAAGATGAAATTTTTTTGTCAAAGAAGCTACCAATAGAGACAAAAACAAATTCATCATAAAAAAGGATGAAATAATGTCAAAAAAAATCGTCACACATTGAGGGTAATAATGACAAAATGTGACAATATTTTTCGTCATGACAAATTCATTTAGTAACGAAATAAAGAATTTATGACAAAATTAATCTACCATCTAAGCCAAATAAGAGACGAAAAAACCTTCTTTGGGGATGGAAAATTTTGTCACTAATTCCATAATATTTTTTTCCACATTATATACCTATTTTATCAAAATCTGAATTTTAGTTCAACAAATATAACCCTGTTCATGTTGAAACCTGTTGAATATAACAATTCCATTCACAACTTAACTTAACCTGTCATCAACACATTTACGAATTAACAAAATGAAAATATCCATTCATCATTATAAATAATTTCATCCTAATACAATAAAATAGTTCAATATCCACAAAATATCCAAAAGTTATAACTTATACAATTCCACCAAACATCTAACAATAACTAGTGCAACTCCACAAAGTATATGTATCGTTATCAAACAAAATGAACATTCAAGCAAATTACATCATTGTTGCACGTCAAAAATTCCATCCCAATCCAATCTGCAAAAAAATAAATTAAAAGTTTTAGTAATTAATTAATTATACAAAAGATTAAAAACATTAGTAACTCATAAATTTACAATTAGATCAATTATATAATTTATCCCTCTAACAGACTTTTTTTTCGAGATTATGAGAACAAAAAATTAATTTTAAGGCTAATTCACAAATGGTGCATCCCATTAATGTGTCGTAAGTTCATACAACTTATATTAGTCCCTCCTAAGGTGTTTCTGTTGGTTCCTGTACAAATCTGTGATTGTGTGATAATTTAGCCTTTCAACGGCCTTTTTTGAAGCTTTAAATATAGAGAAAAAGAAATATTTTTTAGACTAATTCACAATTTATACATCCCGTGCACTTGTACAAATTGGATGTCCTCTGCATGTTTCCATTACTTTCTAATTCTTCAAACATATATTCTTTTATAAAATTTGTTATATTAAAGTTAACATACTTTACCAAGAAGAATGTCCACTTGTGGATGAGTCCCCTCCACTTCCAAAGTGTCCAGTGAATCCTTTGGTCCTCAAAAAGTTGACAACATCAACCATCATCTCCCCTTGCTTCTTCCTACCCTTTGGTCCTCAAAACTAGTTTGTCTACAATGAAATCTGGCTCTAACTCCCAAACCGGGAACCCGATTCGAGTCCCGTCTTCTCCCACAAGTCTCTCGTGCCTAGGCGATCGTGTGTGCCAAGTTTTGTGCTAATCCGACACCGTTTGGTGATTTTGGGGCGTCAACACCTCGAATTCTAAGTTTCTTAAAGAATTAATTTGCCTAGAGTGAAATCCGGCTCTAACTCCCAAATCGGGAACCCGATTCGAGCCCCGTCTTCTCTCACAAGTCTCTCGTGCCTAAGCGGTGGTGTGTGCCAAGTTTTGTGCTAATCTGACACCGTTTGGTGATTTTGAGACGTCAACACCTCGAATTCTAAGTTTCTTAAGGAACTAGTTTGCCTAGCATGAAATCCGGCTCTAACTCCCAAACCAAGAATCCGATTCGAGTCCCGACTTCTCCCACAAGTCTCTCATGCCTAGACGGTCGTGTATGCCAAGATTCGTGCTACTCCGACGTCATTTTGTGATTTTGGAGTGTCAACATCTCAAATTCTAAGTTTTTTAAGGAACTAGTTTGCCTAGCATGAAATTCGGCTCTAACTCCCAAACCGGAAAACCGATTCGAGTCCCGTCTTCTCCCACAAGTCTCTCTTGCCTAGATGGTCGTGTGTGCCAAGTTTCATGCAACTCCGACGCTGTTTGGTGATTTTTGGACATTAACACCTCGAATTCTAAATTTCTAGGGATGATTGATCGACTCTTCCTCTCAATCCACACTTGTTAACCCATATTTTCGCCTATGTAGCAAGCTTCATTTGAGGAAGAAACATGTAGGGCCATTTCAGAACCTTATCCAACAACAAAGTATTCTTCGGTTTTCTATACAACTTCTAAAACAACATTTCCAAATTTTAGAAGTGAAAACTGTTACCTATTATTGCATGCATCATCAATTTAGCATAATGTGAATCAAAAGCACTGAAGTGAACATATGCATTGACGAATAGATAAATAAATATATGCATAAATGCATTCTTGTGGAAGAAAATAGAAAGCAATCTAACATTTTCTATTGCAGCTTGTTCAATCAATGCACATCCCAGTACCCAATTTACAAAACTGCTCGAATCACTCTTAAATTTTTGCTAAATTGAAAGACATACTTTGAAGACTGGAGCTTAACTTCATTGAACTAATTGCTTGTAAAAGATTATAATCATTTCAGGATTTTACCATAATAAAAAAGGAAGACCAGACCAAATTTTCTATTATATGACTGTTAGGTGCATTGACATTTATGAATTATGAACTCTGTTGACATACCCAGATATATGTGTGTGTGGAGAATATATTGACACAACAAACTTAGAGTATGTAGGCAGTAGGTGTAATGAAATTTTGTTAGCAAGGTAAAGTTATTTAAGCATAAAAATTACATGATTAATAGTTTGAACACAAAGAAGTTTATGATACCTTTAACTTCTTGTACCTTTTAACTTCTTGTACCTATAGATCGCACCCAGAATATTTAGCAGCTGTCTTTTATATTCATGGATCCACTTGAACTGTGAGTCAAAGAGGCTATTTGGGTCAATGCTTACACCTGTCACTTGAAATATGAACTGAGCTAATCGCTGCTTGTCATCCATCTTGGCTGATTCCCACTCAGCTTGGAAGTCTGCATCGTCAGCAAACAATTGGAGAAGAAGGTTCAGTAGTGACATTTATAACCATACAGAAAAATTCACCGACAGATGATTTTTAATATGATCTAAAAATCATCTCTAGTACATACTTTCTGAAGATCTACAAGTAGGTCAAGGTTGGTCACCCATTGATCATTTTTTAACCGTTTGGTGATGATATGGCTGAGTTCAAGGCTACAAAATCAAAGCCATCTGCGAGGAGTAATACCATTGGTTTTATTCTGGAACTTCTTAGGCCATATAGAGACATAATCTGCAAATAACTCAGACTTTAAAATGTCACTATGCAACTGGGCAACACCATTCACCTGCAGACAGATGGCCAACAAGAGAAGTCACTTTTTCATTTCCAAATGAAATTGATCAACAGATTATAAGAGGTAGTAAAGGATTAGTGGATCAAGGGCCTAACAAATGAGCAGGACTACGGGCATACGACTAAATAAAGGCAAGGAAGAAATATAACAATAATAGTAAGTCAAGGGGACAACATGATTCAATTAGCAGGATTTTTTAGCTTTTGATAGTATGGTCTATATCTAGTTAGAAATTAAAATTACTGTAGCTCCCAAATCAACATAAAAATGGTAGTTTAACAATAAGAAAAGAAAAAAAAAATCAATATTCAGTACGGAGATGTTCTCAAGAAAACTTAGTAATGGTTTAATACAATTTTCTACTTTCAGCTTTTCAACAACTATCACTCGGTAATTCTCATAAGAGTTTTAGATTATGGGGGTACACAATATAATTTGTTTATTGATCCACAAAGAAGGGAGCTCATACCGTATGTGAAGACACCACGCATAAATTTGCCATCCGCACAACTAGTTTTTGGGGATTTTTATCCATAACGCGCATGCTGGAAAGCTTACTTTCAAGTTCTGGATTTTTTGAACGTATCATTGCTATAAACTGCAAGAATTTCATCTTCTTTTTTCGGAAATTGTAAAACAATATACACATAATAAAGAGAGAAAATAAGACAGGATGGACAAACCCTCTTGTCGATTTCTTCAATGATTTCCATATGGTGAGGAAGAAGTTTCCACATAACAGCTTGCGAACATTTCTCCAGTGCCTCAGGAAGGACAGTATGATTTGTATAAGCAATTGTCCTGGTTTAAAATTTCCCTTTTTGTTATTCATTAGCACCAATCATAATTTTGGACTATGAACACATTAAAAGTGGCAACAGAAAAAATAGGTGCTAAGAAAGAGTAAATGAAGCAAAACAATTAAGAGAAAACGATAACTGCACCTTGTTGTCACATCCCAAGCTTCATCCCATCCAAGTCCGTCATCATCCATTAGTAATCGCATTAGCTCTGGAATTGCAAGAGTAGAATGCGTATCATTCAGCTGTAACGCAACCTTATTGGGAAATTTAGACCACTGCCACGAGCTCTTTCCATCTTTTCTCTCCTTAAATCTGACAATCATGTCTTGAGATTGATCCCATGATTAGAAAACAACATGGAAAAGTAGCAACTGAGATTAATATCAACAAAATTAAATAAGAAAAAGGAATCACGAACTTAGTACTAAAGAAGGATGGGGGACCCAAACAAATACAGAATTAAAAGGCAGCCAACCTGAAGTGATGCACTGCACAGGAAAAATTGTTGCTTCAATCGCAAAAGCTTTCAATTTTCTGTGGCATCCCCAGGATATAGAACATCACAAATTTGCAAAGGCACATTTCCAGATCACTATACCATGCAAAAACAATTGAAACACAGATGAGAACAGAAGCAGCTTTCCAACAGCTACAGTTACATTTAGTCTGAGCATTTATTATGAGAAAGAAAAATATAGTAGTTTTAATTCAGGACATATTGCTTTTCCTTCAATGATTTTGTATTTCACAATTACAGCTCAGAACGAAGACCAAAACTAGAGTTTTCCTGGACAATTATTCACAGCCCTAGAGTAGAAAGATAGCAGAGGTTTTGAAAGAAGTGAATGACATTTTGGACAACAAGAATGCAAGGGACCATGGTAGTATGTCATGAATTGTGTTCTTTGGCCAAAAAGAGAGGCTCGCTCTCCTTTATATAGTAAGGAAAAACCAACCTGCTGAGCTCTAGAATGGAGCTGTGCAGCCGATTCATATTGTCCATCATTAAATTGAAAGAGGTTGAAGTCTTTAGCACCAGCTTTGGCTTCCCACAGATGAAGATTAATAGTGTTCTTGGTTTTGTATCCTGGAATAGGAACATCATATGCTAGAGCTTGTGCAACCTCCCCACCAACCCATTTCCGCCTGTAATGCATTCAGAAAAAACCATCAAATGGAGAACGTGCAGAAAATCCAAGCAACCACGCAACTACAAATTTAAATTCAGAATCAAACTAAGACTTATAATCACTTTCTTGAACCTAAACATATGAGCAACAATCCAGTTATACGCAAAGAATCCTATAAGTCACACTTACGATCCAGAGGGATGTACTTCAACTTGACCAAAAAATCTGACAGGGAACACAATGTCATGTCTGACAACTTCCCAATGGCTAAACTTCTGCACAATTCCCACCAAATTTAGGCTTAGTACCCTTCCATAATATAATCAATATTTAAAAGGGCTATCATGTAAAATCAAACCTCAAGCCAGTCTTCGACAATTTCTTCTTGGTTTGCCAAACCGCTGCTTGAACAACCTATATCTGTACCTCAAACCATACCCCCATGCAGGCAAATTTAATGTTGGCATAGAATCTAGAAAGCAAGAAGCAAGCCTTCCCAGACCCCCATTTCCAAGAGCTGCATCTTTCTCCTGCAAAAAAAAAAATATTTCTGAAATAATCAATAACTTGATACAGTTGCAGACTAAAGTAAGTAAAAGAATGAATATAGCCCAAAAACACACTAAATATTTCTGTTTTGCAAGTGGTGAATGGCTGATATGTCTACCTAAGGTCCATAAGAATGTAGAACCTCACCAAGTTACTAACAAAATTGAACCAATAAAATTGTGTCAAATATTATAGAAGCATCTTTTACAACAAAGCACAAATAATAATAGATTTTCTCAGCTTCTTTGAGCCAAAATCAGAAGCCAATATGAAATCAAATGAGATGGGTAGTTATAAATGGTAAATCTAAATGCAAAGACCTCCATGGTAAAATGCTTAGTACCTAAGTATTGATGCTTATTGAACAAAACTAGAAGCTAAGTCCTATGATATCTAATCAGCACATCTTTATTACCATGCAATTTGTTATTGAAGCATAGTTCCATGGAAAAGAGTAACACAAAGTCCTAAACATAGAATTAAAAAGTAAATCGGAAAGGAATGAAGAATGGAAAGAAGAAAAGTACTGAAATAAGTCTAAAATAGACTAAAATACCAAGAAAACATTAACTACAAGAAGTGTGAGCTTATAATAATCATTGAACAAAATGAAACTATCATTAGTAATCATTTCAAACTTCAAAGGGTAAAGACAAACTCGACTGCTATGCCAAAAAACCTAGAGAAAACTGTACACAAAACAATGCCAAAAAGCAAGATTGTCTTCTGTATTGAACAAGAGAAATGTTGGAAGAACTGTAATTAACAAAACCCAATTGTGCTATTATTGACAAAACATTAAAGCTAATTACGACATGTATTTAATTCAAAGGAATCTATCTAATCTCTTGACTACAAAAGATAAATCATGAATTTAATTCCTTTGAAAAAGACTACATAAATCCTATTTTTTCATTCCACTCAATCAATGGTGTAAAATTAATCTAAGTTATGCACTCAAGAAGTGGGTAATTGCTCTATTACTTGTCAAATTTTGTCCTCGTCTTTTGTTTGCATAAAATTTCTAATTTAAAGCTCAAAAGGAAAAAAAATAAAAAGAGAAACCTCTTATTTGGCTTTATAAAACTTTTTTTAATTTTTTTTTATTTAACTATCTTGTACCTGGTGGGGTCACTAATTTTAGTAGATTACAAGAAATTTGCTATAAATCCCAAATATGAGATTTGAGAAATAGTCAAGTTCTGACAATCTTTATACATCTTAAAACATTATTTTGACCATTTTCCTATCTATTTAGGATCAGCCAATGCTTTGAGGGCAGATAAGGATGACAGTTTGTTATGGAAAGCCAAGAGCTCTGGTCAGTTTATACTTCAGTCCAAATTCCAATGATATAAGAGGAGTTGATAAGATGATTTGGCAGAATGTAACCCCACCCAAAGTCAGATGTTTTGCAAGGTTAGCTTGGAGACAAAGATTGAAGACTGCTACATACTTGCAAAGAGTTTGTGTTATCAATGGCAATGCCAATATGGATTGTGTGTTCTGTAATGCTGAACCAGACTGTGAGCCATGTACTACTATGGTGCCCACATATCTGGAGTATTTGGTCTGATGTGCTACTATGGTGGGGGATCCATTGGGTGATGCCAAAATCTATGGAAGGAGTGTTGCTTTGGTGGTCTGGGTTCACATTCAACAAATTTGAACAGAAAATTTTGGAAAGCCTTACCTCTGGTAGTATTGTGATCCATCTGGAAGTTGAGGAATGTTGTTTTCCTGGGTAAGCAACCAAATTTGCTGGCACTATGCGACTGCATTAAAACTAAAGTGGCTATGTCGGTGGGTTAGAGCTTCATGTCCAGGTGTGCCTTTCTATGTGGGTTAGATGACTGGACACTTGGACCCATACCTATCCCCAGGTCCATGAAATATAGCTTCAAAGGATACATTGAAATACTACTCAAGTACATTAAGGCACAAAAACAAATTGAAGATGCTTGCATACTAACAAAACATTACATGTCATTGATTTTAGAGTTACAAACCTAAGCATTGATTATGTAGTCCTGTATTCACCTTCAAGGTCAAACAATTGAAAAATGCTAGTCTTAGAGCATGATGACAAAATTAAAAATATTATAAAACTTTGCTTAAGAAACTTTCCCCTTATTGTTGGCATTACTAACTGATCTTTGATTAAATAGACTGAGTTAGAAAGGATTGACCAAAACTTCGTTCTTGCATCACTTCTACTTCGTAAGTATCGTATCTATTTGGTTGGCAATGATTTAATATTCCAATGAAGTAGGCAAAACTGCAAATTAGGTGGGGGTCATTGATGAGAGCAACTAGTACATCCTCTTATACACACATGGTTTGTAAGTTGTTTTAAATTTACTCCACAGATCTTTGACTTCTGGTTTCATTTGTATTTTTTATAAACCAATTAATATATAAGAAGTCACTTCATTCTTATTTTACATACCCAGATAACTTATTTGGGAATGAATATATATCTTACAAGAGAAAAAAAAGTAGTTATACTTCCTATAGATCATATTTAAGGAACATACATCTGCTCAAATTCCTTTGTTGCTCTATTTAAGCCAAAAAAAAATTATGAATTTACAGCAGTTACACTTATAGATCAAATTTTATTTCAAGATATTCTTGAGCCTTTTAAGCTTCAATATACATTATTATTTACAAATACATATACATATTCAACCTCCGTTTTAAGTAACCAAGAAAAACCAAGAAAGACAGACTTAGAAATGCAATGGAGAATGCAGAGAAATTCAAAAAAATAATAATAATAATAATAATTGCTATCTTATCAGTGAATCAATGAATTTCAATTTGTGAATCAATGAAATAAAATAAAATAAAATAAAATACAATCCTAGATCTTATCAGTGCATCAATGCAGAAACAAAGCATCAAAATACAAAATTTCAGACAAATCTAAGGGTTTCGATTTCCTCCAAACCAATGTTCGATCAAATATGAAATTGCTATCTCATTTCTCTCTAGAAGTACAAATTAGTTACCTGATGAATGAGAGAGGACAGATCGGAATGGACGAAAAGGAGGCTATCGATGGCGTCGTTTTCGATTGATCTTTGCTCACAGGTTCACAAATGCCGATGGAGAGAAGACAGAGAGAGAGAGAGAGAGAGAGAGAGAGAGAACGAATCGAACCGAGGTTAGCAAAGCAAAAACAGTGTGAAGTAGAAAATTAATAAGCAAAAACAATATTAATAAAAAAAAATTTTGGAAGGTAAAGATTGTTAATAAGTAAACCAATATTAATAAGTAAATAAAAATTGAAGTAAAAAATTTTAGATAAAAAGATTTTAAGTAAGAAATTTAATTATTTAAAATCAAAAAATTAGAAATTTTAGTTTAAGATATTGAAGCACCCACAAGACTTGTGGTTAGAAACCCCATTTTACTTATAATATATATATATATATATATAGATAGATAGATAGATAGATAGATAGATAGATTTAATAAGAATTTATATTCGTTTTAGATATTTTTTTAATATACAAATTATTTTTTAAATTTTTTTTATAAAAATAATTTAACAATCCCATCAGTACCCATAGTGTATGAGAGAAGTTGAAAATGGTGCTGTAATAACTATGAAAGAAGTCAAAAAGATATAATTATTTGTATGAGGAAATTTTAAATGTTGATCAGGAGGTTTTGATCAAATCAATAAATGCAGGCATGTGGATTGAAAAAAGTTAATAAATGCTGATCAGGAGATTTTGACCAAATCAATAAATGCTGAGTTTTTTTTTTTAATAAAAAATTTAGAAAATTCAGATTGACATATTGAAACTCCCACAGGCCTTGGGGTTAAAAACCCCATTTTTTTTTAAAAACCCCCTTAGTGTTTATGTTTATCTAACTTCAATTATATTAAAAAATTAAATTATAAACAAAAGGAGATAACTTCAATCATACAAATCACATTATTTTTAATGTTATCTAATTACAATCACATTTTTTCATAATAAAAAAAATAATTCAAAAAAATGACCATTAAAATAGTAAATAAAAAGATTATTTAGAAGCATTGAACAAAGTACAATCACATTTTTCTTTTTGTGAGTGTTTATGTTTATCTAACTTCAATCATATTAAAAAAATCAAATTATAAACAAAAGGAGATAACTTCAATCATACAAATCACAATTTTTTTAATACTATCTAACTACAATCATATTTTTCTCATAATAAAAAAATAATAATTGAAAAAAAGAACCATTAAAATAGTAAATAAAAATATTATTTATAGCCATTGAATAAACTACAATAACATTTTTCTTTTTGTAAGTTAACTTCAATCATATTAAAAAATAAAATTATAAACAAAATGAGATAACTTCAATCATACAAATCACAATTTTTTTAATGCTGTCTAATTATCATCAATAATTAAAAAAATCAATCACAAATTAAGTCAATTGATAATTAAAAAACACAATAATTTATTTCCAAAAAACATAGTGAGTTAAAAAGATCAATTACAATTTTTTTTTTTGAGTCAAAATACAATCTAATCATCATCAATAATTGGTATATTATGTGACCTTAATGAGTACAATCCATTTTGTTTTTTAAAAAACACAGTGAGTTAAAAATCAAATCACAAATTAAGTGAATTGATAGTTAAAAAAACACAATAATTTTTTTTTCAAAAAACACAGTGAGTTAAAAAAATCAATTATAATTTTTTTTTCAAAATACAATCTAATCATTATCAATAATTGGTACTTTAAAAATCAGATCTGAAAAAAATCAAATCAAATCACAAATATTTTTTCATAAATAATTGTAAAGAAAAACCATTAAAGCAGTAAATAAAAGATTAAATCACATTAAAAAAAAACCATTGAACAAACTACAATCACATTACATTTTTTTCATAATAAAAAAATAAATAAAGAAAAAAAGAACCATTGACTAACTACAATCTCATTAAAAAAATAGAACTATTGAACTAACTACAATCATTTTTTTTTCTTCGTGAGTGTTTATATTTATCTAACTTCAATCATATTAAAATAGTAAATAAAAAGATTAAATAACATTAAAAAAAAGCCATTGAACTAACTACAACAATCATATTAAAAAAAAGAGCCATTAAACAAACTACAATCACATCACATTACAATCACATTTTTTTCTTTGTGAGTGTTTATGTTTATTTAACTTTAATCATATTAAAAATAAAATTAAAATAGTAAAAAAAAAGATTAAATAACATTAAAAAAAAGAGCCATTGAACAAACTACAATCACATCACATTTTCCCCATAATAAAATAAATAAATGAAAAAAAAAACTATTAAACTAACTACAATCACATTTTAAAAAAAAAAAGAATCATTCAACTAATTATAATCACATTTTTCTCTTTGTGAGAGTTTATATTTATCTAACTTCAATCATATTAAAAAATCAAATTACCCGAGCGGAAGTGCTTTATTCTTGAGTCTTGGCGCTCGAGCGAGCCTTATTGCACTCGAGCGTGTCCAGAGTTTTGTTCTTGGCGCTTGAGCATCGTGTTCTCCGCTCGAGTGGGTCATACGTATATGAGTTACCCGCTGGGTGAATTCAAATCACTTTTTGTTTTTCTTTCTCTCTCCTACTTTTTCTAAAAACCTTTTTGAGAGCCTCTCTCTCTAGAAACTCCCTTCTCTCTAGGGTTTGATCTAGTTAGAGTGTCCTCCTTCTCTTCGGCCTTTGTAATAGTTGTGTGGATCGTCGAGGGCTACATTCTAATTTGAAAATTTCGGGATTTGGAGCACATTGGGTTTTGTCTTCTTCTCCTTTGGGGCTCCGGATTTGAGGTAGGGATATCCTACTCCTCTCTATGGATTTTGTCGTTAAATTTTAGTATTTTGAGATGTTGGGGTTGATTGGGTAATTTTGTGAAAGTTTGGGGCTTTTGTGTAATTTTACAAAAGTTGGGGTTTTGTTTGTAATAAACCTAAATGCATGTTTGGCATAGAGAAATGGAATAAATGTTGAATCATTGATGAAAATGGGACCTAAGGGTTGAAATGGTAATTATGAAAAATGACCTAATTACATTGTGTGATTAATTGGGATAATTAATTGTGAGAAATGAGGAAAATGAAATGGAAATGTTGAGATTGGGAATGTATGGGAAAAAGGGTGTAGTTGAGTTAATTATCACTCACCGAATTGAAATGTTGGTTGAATATCCATTTGTGCATTTATTTTCTATTAGAAATAACTGCTTGGGCTATCGGTGGAGGATAGTCGTGAATTGTTGTAGACAATGCATGATGATTAGGCAAACGAAAACTAATCAATGGAATGTGTCATGGAATGTGACGGTTGATAGAATACATTAACTGTATGTATTGAATGATGGTATATAGAACCAATGTGTTTGTATACGTTACGTGAAGAGGAGGAGATGGGGGATGTACTCCGCGGTTTAGGGGAAGATGGAGGATGTACCTCTAAACCAGATAGACTTGGGAGGAGATGGGGGATGAACTCCGTAGACACAGCTCATATGCTTGTCTAGAGAAATGAAGATAGAGCTCATATGCTTATCTTTAAGAAGTCATCACATGTATTGGATTGGACCGATTTAGAGGTAGATGAGGATGCCTCGTATGAGGAGAGACCGGTGCGGGTCTTGGATCGGCGAGATCAAGTCTTACGAGGCAAGACGATACCCGTGATCAAAGTTTTGTGAAAACATCACGGAGTGGAGGAAGCCACTTGGGAACGTGAGTTGGAGGTCCGTGAAAAATATCCGGACTTGTTTGTTGTTGTATAACCTTGTAATTACATTTTGGACTATTGTTGAACTTAAGAGCTTTTGTATATGTCTTAAGTTGTGAAACATTGAAAATGTTTTGATTTTTGGAAGTATGTTTTGGAACTTGCCTCATATGGAAGTTGAATGTAACATTATATTGGAAAGGAAATGCGTAATGTTGATGCATGTTGAAAATACATATGTTGTTTACATGTTGGGAGCCTTGGGAGTTTGATTTGCTACTGGGCGAATCTGTTGGGGCTGCGGCCTTGTTTTCTGTTGTTGCGCAGCCTACACTTGTGATTAGAGTTTAGAGGCACAGAGAGGTGACCTTGAGGTAGAATCCTCCGAGAGAGATCTCCAGTGGGAAAGTTGAGAAGGGTTTGACGGTGTATCCCGACCTGAGTGTGAGATACCGAGACCGTTTGTTGTACCGGAGTCTTGCCGAGAGGAAGTACTCCGAGAGTTTCACATTCGCGCCTTGCGGTGCATCCGGGAGGTACTAAGATGTATCAGGATTTGGGTCGCAGTTTTGGTGGCGGGGTATGAAGAGAGATGTGGCTGTTTTCGTATCGAAGTCTTACTTGCCAGCAAGTGAAGGCCGAGCATCAGAGGCCAGCGGGTTTGTTGCAACCCTTGCCTATTGCCGAGTGGAAGTGGGAGCATTCACTATGACTTCGTTGTAGGTCTTCCGAGGACTCAGCGGGGTAGTGATGCTATTTGGGTGGTTAGACGGTTGACTAAGTCGGCGCACTTTATTCCTATGCGCGTGAGAGATTCGGTAGATCATCTTGCCGACTTGTATATTCGGGACTAGTGAGATTGCAGGGGTCCCAGTGACGATCGTCTCAGATAGAGACCCTCGTTTTACTGCTAGGTTGTGGCAGAGTTTGCGAGTGCCTTGGGCACTAAGTTGACCTTTAGTACGGCTTATCACCTCAGACTGACGGGCAGTCCGAGCGTACTATTCAGATCCTCGAGGATATGTTCGGGGTTGTGTCCTGGACTTCAGTGGACGTGGGAGAGGCACTTGCCATTGGTAGAGTTTGCCTACAACAACAGTTTTCAGTCTAGCATCGGTATGGCACCGTTTGAGGCCTTGTATGGCCGACCGTGTAGGTCTCCAGTTTGTTGGGCCGAGGTGGGTGATGCACCTTTGTTGGGTCCGGAGTTGGTTAGGGGACGACGGAGAAAGTTGAGCTTATCCGTAGGAGGCTTTTACAGCCCAGAGTCGCAAAATTTATGCGACCGTAGGAGGGACCTTTGGCGTTTGAGGTAGGTGATCATGTCTTTCTGAAGATATCACCTAGCGAGGCTTGATGAGGTTTGGGAAGAGTGGGAAGTTATCCCCTCGGTTTATTGGTCCT